GAGAATACATGAGCATACATGAGCATACGTAGTTCTGTGTGAAACAGGATTCGAAACTTACATTGGCCCAGGCATGCCGCGAGTTCTCAGCTTGATCGTCGTTTTGAAAGACGAGCCGTCGACAATCTGTAGGGCGATGTCAGTAGGGTCAGGATTAGTACAAGTACAGTGTACTAGTACAAGTACAGTGCACATTCATACGATACAGAGACCGCCGGGTATGCGTGAGTCATACACAAGCCTAAGTACTCGGCTTGGGATGTACTTGTTTGCGTGTAACAGGACAAGCTTCTGCGAGTACATATTGAGATTTAAAGGGTCAGCTAGCACCCGCATAGGATCCAGATGTCGTCCAATTTGGCAAATGAAGAATGTGCAAGAAGGAGATGTTCACGATCATCTGAGTGGATACGCCGCAGGATTAATAATGTTTGAAATCGCAAACAAATATAGTAAGCAAACACAGAACCTTAAACTGGTCATGTTAGTTCATAGATGGTATTGTCTGTATGCAAGAACATAGATGAATATATCATGCCACTTGAAGATACCAAAGCCGAGTACAAAACCTGCAGAGCGCCCGGCCACAGGATAAACCATAACACTAATCCCGCGAGCCAAAGTGCTTGGCGCTAACAATGATATGGCATGAGTTAAAGTGTCAACCAGTACATATCGCATATAGATATCAGTACTATCATATCTTGTAAAAGTAAAAGTCCCATGCGCCAATACCTTTTTCGCGAAGAATTTATTCGCGCAGGTGACATTGGTAGGCCGATACTCCAGGGCAATCACATCACCTACAAACCAAATTAAATGGAATAATTGAGCTGGCATATACAGAATAATGTCCTGTATAACAAATAAAATACAAAGCACCCCAAAAAACCCCCCCATAGGGTTTTAGGACAACGGTAAGATAAGAGAACAAATCCTATTTATCGCCGAGCGGGAGGGTAGCAGACCTCCACACTAATACACAGTACTGCAAATAAAAAACCCTGAATTTATCTCAGCACACGCACAAGTCGAGGTAGATAGTGCGACTCCAACACAACTCGAACCGAACGAGTGTAGGTGCATTCAAGGACAGACTGCCCGACTCTTGTTGTTTGTCTACGTCTTGTAATGTGTACCCAAAGTGTCAAATGCCTTTTTCGATTGCGCGCAACATTCTAGTTGGTAGCAACGCCTTACCATTTTCGTTCATATGGATGCCTAACTCGTCCTTGAGCTTCGATGAAACAAGCGTACACTGTCGAAGAAAAGAAAAAAAGACATGTGAGAAACTAAGAACTGAACTGTGTTGGGCATATTACATTTTGGCATTAGAAAGCACTATGGTATTGGGATAAAATACCAATCCGAGTGAACAACTCTCGGGTTTTAGCACTTGAACAGAAGAGAATAAATGTGTGCGATAATCTCCTAAAAGGTATAATATATATGATGAGCTGGGCTCGCACAGCACGTGCATATACAGCAGCCATCCGACATATCGCAGTCATTTTCTGATATAAAAAAAATGAAATTGAGACAGTCTCGGGCCAAGCGATGTGTATATACGACTGTAACGGAACTCAGTCTCAGCCATGCCACGGCGTGAAAGTAAGTGTAAATACACCAACGACTGTGACAGGTGATCGTCTGGCCCAAGATTCGACCTAACGTAGGGCTTATCAGACCTACGCCACCGGAGTACAAGCGGTGTAAGCTGAACACACCCTTACGAGATTACCAGTATCTAAAACGTGCGTAGCCTATCACAAACAGGGTTGTCTGTATCGTATACACCAATGTACATAACATACCGCTCGAACAAGCGATGACACATATTGGTCATCGTTCTTGCCTGGGTGCGTCTCTACTCGCACGTGATAGAAGCCATCGTTAGCGGCCAGTGCCTGCGACAATCCGGTTTGTGTGTAGATCAAATGTTAGCGAATTAAACCATTTTTCGATTCATACTAGCATTTATAAATATAGTCACACATTAGGGCTTTACATTTGTACAATTGATGTATATAAGATATACTCCAAATTATGAAGAAATATATATATAAATATATATATATATATATATATACTCAGATACTTATAGGTACTCACATATGTATATATGCCTAAATATGAATATGGATATCTATATTTGTATAACATATATACTTGGTGATAGAACAACAAAGGATTTCAGTAGATGCCGGCCGGACTATACCACTTTGATACTGTCGAAGATGAATAAAGGGCTGAAAGTGACATTTGGGCTGGCTAAAGAATCACATGGCCGGGGTAGAAACCAGCCTAACGCCATTGAGCTTACTGATGTTAGTCCGAATTTTAAAATCCATCTGAGCGTGGCGATGTTCACGTGCCAAGATATAGGACAGCAAATATGCCTAACAACATATCGACACTCTCAAGTAGAGCTAATATCTGCAAAAACAAGATGTGACTAACCTTCAATGCTTCAGCCTCAGACGCAGAGAGCTTATCCTGTTCAAACTTGGAGCCTTCTTCGCTACGTTTGAGGATACCTCTAGGTGTGAACTTCAGATCCACGCCGTCCGCCGTGAGTGCGTGCTGAACGCGTATATCCTGAGATTACAAGTTGCTGAAAGGGTGAGCCTTCGGGTATATGGTGGCTATACACTAGAACAATTTCGCACAGCAAACACGAGTTCGATAGCCACGTGCATATATTGATAGGAATGGGGTGGGGGGGGTCACTGTTCAACGACACACTCTGCAAACAATTGAATATTAAACCATGCACTGTGCAAGATCATACTCGCAGGCATAGCAGTATGGATTCTCAATCGATGCTAACATGTATGCTTTGACTCATGAGAATAAACGCAGAGTGATCAAAAGTATAGCAACATATATATGTACTACAAAAATCGCAATGTATAGAATGCACGTACCTGCTAATAAACAAGTTCG